AGCAAAGGGTCTGAATACTTATGACCATGTGATATTTCAGTTTTTCTTTTTTAATAAATCTGCAAAAATGTCAAAAATTCAGTGTTTTTCTGTCAATATGGGGTGCTGTGTGTACATTAATGAGGAAAAAAATGAGCTTAAATGATTTTAGCATATGGCTGCAATATAACAAAGAGTGAAAAATTTAAGGGGGTCTGAATACTTTCCGTACCCACTGTAGTAGCAATCCAAAATAATCATTCTGTTGAATGAAATCTGCCACAGGTTGTTTATTTTAACAACTGTATTTCTGACATTTTCCGCTCTACCAGGTGAAAATGTTCTACATGTCAGAGATGCAGACACTCACAATAAGATCTACCATGCTCTGGAGCTGCAGTTTGGAAAGAGATACCCCTGGTATGACCAATGTACTGCCTGTCTTGGCCTTTATCGGCGACTTTGTCCTGTGAATTTTCTCTTGTAGACTGTCTTTTCCTTTTTTCACAGCTTTCCATTTTACATTTTAGTTTCAAAGCCCTTTTCCAGTATCATTATACTGCATTTTAAATCAAGTCCACAGTCTTACTTAAAATGAGGTGGACAGGGTAAACAAGGTGGGGTTGCAAAGGCATGCCTCTTTCAGCTAACAAAATGTTAATTATGTAAGCTAAACCCTTCGGTGACCTTTATTAGAAGCCACATAACTGCCTTAAAAATCCTAAAATTAGGATTTTTCTTTTCAAAAAGTAGATCAGTGACATCGACATTGTTTCTGTTTCCCATCAGTTCTAAGATTTATGGCGATGGCAATGCAGTTCCTCGTATTCTCAAGTTTTTACGTACCATTGACATAAATGAGCCCCTCCAGAAGACCTTTTGTTTTCCGCCGGTGAAAGACTGCATCTCCCAGGACATCGATCACATCCTGGAGATGCAGAGCGCTCTGGCCGTTGACCTGGGAGGGACCAACCTCAGGGTGGCTATCGTCTCTATGAAGGTAGGCTACACAGCTTCTTACCTGGACAGAAACATCACTGTAATTATTTTTAAATAGCTGTCTCTCCATTTTTACGATCATAAGGTTTTTATCCTAATGCCAGGCACCACTGCTCATGAAGCATTAGTTTCAGTTTAACATTAAAAAAGTGTTTGATTTTTATTGGTGCTAGTGTCTTTATTATGATTCAGTCTTATGGTTTTAATTAACCATTAATAACTTTGGAAGTACATTTTTTCATCTTCCTTTATTGGTATGTTACGATGAAATGTTATTAGATCCTTTGTGTTCTTGTCTTCTCTGCTATTCTTCTTTTCTTTCATGCTCACATATACAGTTACCGTTTGGCATGGCAACTGCACAGCCGAAGACAAAAAGTCCCTCCAAAATATCTAAATCGTCAGAAAAATTATTAACGCGTGACTCCCATCTCTGGATGACATTTACAGTAGCTGTTACATGAAAAGTACTCTTAATATTTTGAAGGACCCTTCTCATCCTGGTCACTTCTTGTTCAAGCTTCTACCCTCTGGGGAGCGATACAGGTCAATAAAAACTTGCACAGCCAGATTCACAAATACTTTTGACCCCAAGGCTGTTGTGCAGCTGAATCAGTCACAACACAAATGTGTGACTGAATCAGAGATACTCTGCTACATTGGTCATATGGTTAAAAAAACAATTAAACTTCTATTCAGTTTTATGTATTTCTTGGATTTGACTCTGTTATTCATTAGTTGATCCATTGCTATTAGGCTTGGGCACCCTTTAAATATTTGTTTGTTTGTTTGATGTTGAATGCTGTTTTCGCACCATAGAGTATTTCACTTTCATTGTATGTTTATCATGTAATGGTAATGAAGTTGTTGTTCTTCTTCTACACCTCTCTCTCCCCCACTCCTTCTTTCATCCCTCCCTCTGCCCAGGGCAACATAGTTAAGAAATACTGTTATCCCAATCCAAGGACTTTCAACGACAGGATGCAGCTTATATTGAAGATGTGCAGCGATGCCATACAAGATGCTGTCTGCCTCAACTGTAGAATACTCGGTATCGGTATGTAAACGCACACACACTCAAGTTCCTTAATGAAAAGCCACGATGATGCTGAAAACCATCATCTCATATCTGTGTCAAAATGTGTCATCCCACATGTCAGGAGTGTCCACAGGCGGGCGTGTAAATCCACACGATGGTTTGGTCCTGCACTCCACGAAGCTGATCGAGCAGTGGTCCTCGGTGGACCTGAGAACACCCATTTCCGACGCCCTGCACCTGCCCGTCTGGGTCGACAATGACGGCAACTGTGCTGCACTGGCTGAGAGGAAGTTTGGTCATGGAAAGGGGGTGGAGAACTTTGTTACTGTCATCACAGGAACAGGTGAAATTGCAGGATTTGAAAAGTATCGTAATTATATGTCTTTGCAGATTCTCAGTCATCCAGGTCATAGTAAGCTGAAAAAAAGTGAAAACAACTGGACTAGGTTTTTAAGTCGAAGACGTTTCACCTCTCATCCAAGAGGCTTCATCGGTTTTTTTCTTTTTTGTTTTTCTTTTCCTTCAGCTGTCCTAATTATAAATGTGTGTGTTACCGAGTTTGGGTTTTAGAGATACAGTATGTGAACCTTTTGGAATTTCATTGTTTTCTGCATTAATTTGTCATAAAATGTGATCTGATCTTCATCTAAGTCAAGAGTACTGACAGATATAATGTGCCTACAAAAACAACAAAAAAAAATTCTGATCTTTTATGAATTTTATTGAAGACACTCATTCAACATTCAGAATGGTAGTGGAAAAAGTAAGGGAACCCCTGCAATTGGTTGACCCCAATTTATTTATTGCACTTGGAATTCATCTTCCTCTCAATGATTGCAAGCCAGCCAGGCCCTGATGCAGCAAAGCAGGCCCATGCAGGTCATGATGTTTCCTCCACCATACTTTACGGTTGGGATGGTGTTTTCAACATGATATGCAGTGCCCTTTTTACGCCAGATGCAGTGCTGCGTGTTTGTTCCAAATAGTTCCGTCTTAGTTTCATCAGTCCAGAAAACATTTTGCCAATACCGCTGTGCCGTGTCAATGTGCTCTTTCGCCAACTTCAGGCGTGCAGCAATGTTCTTCTTAGTAAGCAGCGGCTTCCTTCGTGGTGTCCTGCCATAGACACCCTGTTTATTCAATGTTTAATGTACTGTGGACTCATGAACACAGATGTTATCCAGTTCCAATGATGCCTTCAAATCTGGCTGTCACTCAAGGTTGTTTCTTTACCTCATTGATGAGTCTTCATTGTGCTCTTGGGGTCATTTTGACTGGGCACCCACTTCTTGGTAGAGTAGCCATCCGCCCAACGTGTCTCCATTCGTAGATCGTTTGCCTAACTGTAGACTGGTGAATTTTTAAAGTCTTTGAAATCACCATATAACCCTTTCTAGCTTTATGTAAATCAACAATTCTTGATCGTGGATCTTCTGAAAGCTCTTTTTGGAGCAAACTCAAAAGGTTTGAGTGGTTTTTATCTGTCAAAGTAGCTCTAGTGCACAACTCCAAACTCATTTTCTCAACAAGACTCCAGGTATGCCAACACCTGACTCCAGTTAGCTTTTTTGAGGTCAGTAACTCGGGTTCACATACTTTTTCCCACTAGCACTATGAGATTTTTATGGTTGTTCTCAATAAAGACATGAAAGATCAAACATTTTTTTTGTGTTGTTATATTAGGCACATTATATCCGTCAGTACTCGACTTAGATAAAGATGAGATCACATTTTATGACAAATTAATGCAGAAAGCCATGAAATTCCAAAAGGTTCACATACTTCCTCTTGCCACTGTATTTCAGTGAGGAGTTATAAAGCTGGCAAACATCAAACACACAGTAACAACATGCACTGTAGTTAACTGATGGGAAAAGCTTAAATGTGTTGGTAAACTAGGCTGTTACCATGTCTCAGAAGAAAAAACTGCCTACAAGAGTACTGTTTCAACAAAAACACAAGCGTGCTGCCTGTCTCTTTATTCACTCATTCATTATGGCTGTGGCTCATGAGGTAGGGCAGTCGTCTCCTGACCAGCAAGTTGGTGGTTCGACTCCCGGTCTCCCCGCATGCCTAAGTGTCCCTGAGCAAGACACTGAACCCCGAATTGCTCCCGGTGGCTTGACTAGCGCCGGTGCATGGCAGCCTGTCGTCATCGGTGTGTGAATGTTGTGTGTGAATGGGTGAATGGTGTATGATCCTCTGTAAAGCGCTTTGGCCAGTGCAACACACTGTGAGAAAGCGCTATATAAAATACAGTCCATTTACCTGTTATTCCGACAAATCCATATGGCAGCCCGACACTGTATATTGTTAATTTAAATAAGTTGTAATATAAATATTGCATCATATGCAGCTGTCTTTTGATTTTTGAAAGCTCAGAAATATGCTCCTATCACTTTTTTGCATTTAAATACCAATGTTAATGTGGTCAAAATCATCACTAAAATTCATGCCAGTTGGTTTTCTGACGTTCTAAAGAATAGTCACACTGAAGAGCCGACTGACAAAATCCTTATTCGAGTACAGCCCTAGCTGCATTATGTATGTGTTAAGGCAGTCTCACCTTGTCCTCCTCTCCCTCAGAGTCAGAGGCCGCTCTGAACTGCAGTGTACCAGTGTTGATGTAAAATCCACCCAGCTTTGTAGTCAGAGAGGCAGGCACCAGCTCATCATACTGCGGAAAATGACAATAGAAGGCAGATTGTGGTATAAGATCAGGAGATTCTGAGAAACAATAAATCTTCTTAAACAAAACAGTTCTTCAGGACACATAAAAAAACAATTCTTATCACAGAGCACATCAAAACAGAAGTAAGAAAGAGTCAAACAGAAGCTGCCAATTTGTGAGTGCAGAGAGGACAGCTATCAAAACATAACTGCAGAGAATAGATAAAAGGAGCATAATTCTAGTTTAGCTATTTCAGACAAAGCGATAACCTTTGAATCCTGAGCAACAAGTACCATCAAAGACAAATCTCTGCATGGACACAAGCAGGATGTATGTATTCCTGAGTAATGGGGACGATTTTAGACCGTTGTCTGAGGCCAGCTGTATTAAAGGACAAGTGTCTATGTTTAGAAGCTTCTTTGAACATGCTGTAGTGAATCATCAAGCCAGGAAATAAATATTTAATAACAGAGGCATAATTTCTACCTCAATACAACAGCAGTTCAGGAATTGATGAGAATATATACATTAGCAGATAATAACAAGAGGAAAGAACAATGTGCATCTGACCAACGTGACATCCTAGAATAAAAAAGGGCAAGGGATACTCACAGCTTCTGAGTTGTCAATGAAGGGGTCTGACTCATCATAGCCAAAGCCTATATCAATCAGATCTTGCATTCTGTCTTTCCTCTTCTTGTTCCCCATATTACCCTGAAAAATAATAATAAAAAAACACCAATTTTATGTTTTGATTTTAATTAACATGAATATTTCTCTAATTTTTCAAAACCATAATCTTAATATGGCCACTTTTCACAATAAGGATTTACAAAATGCCCTCATGTGGCTGTTGTTTAGGAACATTTGGTCCTCTTAAAAACACAAACCCACATCAGCACTGAGGAAACAACCAGAGCCCGACTGACAAATCAGCCGTGCTGATACATCAGTCACGTTGTCTTCTTATTATACTGTCGATAGATCATTATTGGCATGTATGAAAGCTGATAAAAAAGAAACACACAATACAACAATGCCTCCCATAGTGTGTCCTCTCTCTCTCTCTCCCTGTACCTTTCTGCAGGTTGTCCTGGCCCTGGAGCTCTATGTTTCTGATGAGCAGTCACCGGCCACATCAACCTGACCAGTGTTTGATTGTTTGTTGTATCCTGTTGCTTTTCTTCTTCTCTCTCTCCTCTATCCACTCACCCCAACCAGTCGAGGCAGAAGGCCGCCCACCAAGAACCGGGGTCTGTCAGAGGTTTCTTCCATTAAAGGGAGTTTTTCCTCCCCACTGTCTCCAAGTGCTTGCTCAAGGGGGATTTGTTGGGTTTGCCTCTATAATAATAGTGATAATAGTAAGGTCTAGACTTTACATGGTAAAGTGTCCTGAGATGACTTTTGTTGTGATTTGGCGCTATACAAATAAGATTTGAATTTGAATTTAGATATCCTGAGGTCATACAGAAACATCTTCTTCATTACACAGTCTGTCCCCCAAAGAGGACCACCGACAAGTTTCTCCATTGTAAAATATCCTGCCCTGTACACATCATGGTCACAATTTTTTAAAAACAAATAGGTTTTCTTCATCCAAAATGCTTTTTATTTTTGTAAAAACATGAATTAAACTTGAATAAATATCAGTATCAGCCTCAACAATTTCACATAGGTCAAGCAGTAGAAACAACAGTCAGTAAGTAAAGAAAGAAGTAAATGAGGTATGGCTTTTTGCACAGAGTTATCTGTGATTCTGGGGATTAAATTTACTCGACTACGAGAAGTTACTAAGACACAGTAATGCTAACAAATATGTCAGCCAATGTTACCTTTTTGCCAACACATGTATCAGTGTATATACAGGTCAATAAGTAACCTGAAACTACAGTATGAATGATATATGTGTATATATATTTTGAATAGGTTTATTGTAAAAATATTTTTTATATTTATTACTACTCTTCTGTAGTACTACCTGTTTCCTTTTTTCAAATGTATATTTTTTAACCAGTCTATACTACACAACCAAGACAAATTCCTTGTATAAAGGGGCGTTGCTAGACATAAAGCTCTACTGGAGCACAGGCCCCCCCGTTGCTCAAATCAATTTTTTTCCTTGAAAGTCTGCTGCATGAATAAATTGTGCTATTGCCTACATTGTGCTATATGAACTTCTCTGTTCCACTGCCATACTGCTGCTACTGAAACAACTACTAGTAAAGGTGAAATGTAGAGATATGAATCTTTATGAACATATTTACATCTTTATGAACATTCTCAACATGATTTGTGGTGTAAAGGTCTGGCCCTGCATTGCACAGTTCTTTGCATTCTTCTGCGTTTCACAATAATAACCAATTTGATTGTCAAGCAGCCCAACTGATTTGTCTTTGATGTGTTTATTTGCCAATATAACATTACTGAATTTTTGAATCACTCAAATAATAATACTGGCATTGGCCTTAAAAATCCACTATCAGTCAGACTATAATTTAACATAATCAGATGAAAGACACTTTAAAAATATAATAACTCACATATTTATTTTCAAACTTTTTTGCCAGAGCCTCGACCTGGAGTCGCTCTCTCTCCTCATCATTGAAGGGGTCAGCGGGATTGTGGGCTGAAGCCAGGCTTGGAGGATTATTGTTTGTCTGGAACAAATAATGAAAATCAAAAATTTAAGATGATCAACAGGAGCTAGAAGTAGACAGTTATAGTGCTACTCACACTGAAACACTACCAGCTTGTGACATGACTGAAATGTTACTGTAGAGAAAAGTCTAACCAGGAAAGTATATTATATTATTTCAATACAACAAACATCAAATAACCGAATCCAAAAACTCCAAAATGTGCTGTTATGTAAAATAAAATTAGAGCCTAAACTCTCCAGGATCAAAATGAGGAGAGCTTCTCTGTGATTTATCAGCCCTGACATTTGCCTGGCTCCCATGCTAACGTTACATCCTGGTACTTCCATCAGCAGTACTCTCTCACCCGCAGCCACAGGGCCAAACTGCATGTGGCATTTCCAAGTGCTGTAATGGCTGTGTGACTGAGCTGTTGCTGGGCAAGTCTGAGTGAAGAGGACAGTGAGCAGCACAAGATAAGCTTTACTTCGACATGTGGCAAAAAGATGAGGTCCCTCGTTAAAACGCAGTGAGAGAGTAAAGCAGCTGAAGTTGGAAAGCACACAGAGTGCCCTGGCTGAATGAGTGGCCAAAAACTGCTGCTGCCTTTTGTGTTGAGTCGCACTAATGGTCAGTTTCAACCACGCTAGTCCACGAAAGCACAAGGTGCTCTTTCACCCCCCTTTACTTACAGATGATAAGTCCACACAAACACTTCCAAAGGCAATAAAATTAACTCCAGCTCCAGTCTCAGCCGGTCTGGTAATGTTTGTTAAGATGGGATATCCTACCTGGAGGTTTTGAATGAGTTCGCCGTAATTAAACTCGGCGGAGGAGCGGTCGTCAGGCTCGGACAGAGGCAGGTTGAGCCGCACTGTCGCCCTCTTCTCGGCTCTAGCGTTGTCCCTATCGCTGGTTTTGCCGAGACGACCGTTGCTGGCAGCACCTCCTGCCCCGATCGCTGTCTCGACCTCCATGGCTCTACCGAAGTTGAAGTCGGCCTCATCCTCCAGCCGGCGTTTCCTAGACTCCGCGGCTGCTCCAGATGCGAAGGCCGAGAGGGTGACAAATTGCACTTTTCTCGGTTCGGCCATTTGGATGAGCTGCCTGCCTGTCTGAACCTCGCTCCGGACAGACAGCGAGGAGAAGAGCTAGTTCGCGAAACTACTTCAAATTGATAGATTGAAGAAGGTTTCGCGAAGCTCCGACGGCTGCTCAGTGCCTAGGCGTATGTCAGGGCTTTCTGCGAACCATACGAATTGAACTCCCTGGGATGCGACGGTCGGGGAAAAGTTGTTTTTTCCGCAGCTACTTGCATCCTGAATCTGCTATGGGACCGATACATTCGTAGGAGCCATCTTGGGTTTCGGGAGTAAATAAAATATCAGAAGAGGGAAGTCACTGCGCCTGCGCCTACGCACAAAACGGAAGCATCGTTACACGAGGGGAGTTGATCCTGACCAATCAGTGCGTGCCCCGATCCTAAACCCGCCCCTGTCACAACAGGCGATAATAACAACACTATCAGTACTGTGATGACCTTTACAAAGTAGCGGATAGAAGGACGGGGAGTGGGAGACGGATCTCATGTTGTGTGCACCCAGACATCCAGAAACAGAGAAGCTACATCTCGTGTCTAAATCGACAGCTTTCATCCGATGCCGTTCATAGAGACAGTGGCAGTGACATATTGAATTGGGAATTTTCTACAAGAGCACCGGCCCACACTCAAAAATCAAACCCTAAAAAGAAGCCTGATGATTGGCTGTCTCGGTTACCCACCTCAACACAGCTGAATAAATTGCAATAATGACCACCTGTTGATATAGTGTGTAAAGCTCCCCTCCAGATATGTTTGAAGATATTTTGTTGCCATACCATAATCAGTACTCAGTCATAGGAGTACTGATTGTAGTTTTAACTTCATTTCAAAATCAGAGTACACTGGTATTCAAGATAACTTCATCCAGGATTAATAAATCAATCCCCAGACTGCAGTCAAAGAACCGAATAGACTGGATGACAAGGAACATGATTATTCTACAATGTCTTCTGAGGAAATAACCCCCTTCATGTCACCAGGATCATGTTGGGATTGGGAGTTTAATTTATGAGAAAAAAATCAATATTACCAACAGGTGAATAAAGTTTAAAACATTTAATTAAAGATGCCATTTGAGTTGCACTATGGGAATAATAGTCTCCAACAGACTTGATATGAGGAAGGGACTAACTTTTGAAATGTTTATCTTATTTTTGCTCTATTTTGACCATTCTTAATTTAAATGGTTTCTTGCACAAATGGTACAATTTGTTTGCCAGTTTCATATGCCATTGTAAGCTAAGTAAAAATGAAAAAATATTTTAATAGAAAAGGTAATTGTGTTAGTTTATTGGTTTTCTAAGATCTTTGTGGAATTATCACAACAATTCACAATTTAATCCCATGTTTTGCAGCTGTGCACAGCTTCTTCAGTTCCTTTGTGTAATGCAGTACAGGACAAAAGTGTACATTAACAGCAGTCTCAAAAATCAAATCTGGTTTTGTTGGTTTGTCTGGTATACTAACTAAGAAAACTTATCTTTTGTTACTTTTCCAGTATCAACACACTACACCCTCAAAAACTGCATGTTACACAAATTACATATAGAACTGGGCCACTACTCCAGTGTAGCAGCCATGCTGTTGCTTAGGTCCTGTTTATTTTTTTCCCCTTCCTCTACAGTATACACTCATATCTTCATTTTGATTTCTTTACCTTAATTGTTCTGATATTCCTCAAGTTGTTCGTTTTTGGTATTGCTATTGAAAGCTGATAAAAACAATGTCAAGTCAGTTACTGTACTGCACTGACGTTGATGCAAATAGATCACAGACAACAACAACAGTAATTTACAGAATACAGTCACAATTTAATAAGAATATACATACAAGTACATAGAGAACTGCAATTTAAAACGTACATATTTTAATACAAAACACTACAGTATAGCATATAACTAGCAATAACTTCATATTTCTAAGCTTCAAGTGAAATTATCAAATGGACTATAATGACTGCTAACATCCGCATAATGTAGCTACTCTTGATGTAGACTCGTGGCGAGCTGACTGAGTGCTGTCAGGAGAGGAGGACTCTGTTCTCTTTGGCCCACTTCCTCAGAGTTCGGATGATGTATTCAACCTGTGGGTTTCCTGAATTTCGCAGCAGGGACACCACCTCTTTCAGTGTCTCCCTGGAACACAAACAGAATATATGAGGAAACAAGATTAGATCAAGAATGCACCATCTCTCATTTTTCTTTTATCTACCCATCACACCCACTCATGCAGACTAAAGGAGATTGATATGCGAGTCCAAATGTTATTCAATTCTATTGGCAATGACAGAGATTATGAAGAAAAATGTTTTTAAATGTGTCAAGATAACCTGAAGACCCAAACTACTGCACAGGAGAAAAACAACATACAAACATACTTGGGCTCCTTGTTTGCCAGTATGAGCTGGAAGATGCCAACACATGCCCCTCTTTTGCCCTCCCAGTAGTTGGAACTTGGGTCCAGCTTCTCCAGTGCATCGAATGCTTTGGCTGCATAGTAGAACTGGCCCATCTAAAACATGTTGTGATCATGAGCACCTGATGCAGCTATGGTTGCAATGGTATGAGATATTCACGATATGATAACTGTCTCAGAAAATTTCACTGTTTCACGGTATGTGGGTATATATGGTATAACACAATTGCTATTATTATCAACTGCAACAGCCCTCAGAAGAATGAAAAAAATCATCTTTTTGTTTTTATTGCAAGTGACTTTGCCAGTTGATTGAACTAGATTACAGCACAAGATTGACCCAAAAAATAAACTGAGTTATAAAGATGATAAAAAATAACATAACTTTAACATGTTATACAACTAAAGCATGTTAGTTTGTGTTAGTACCAGTAGCAGAGAAAGTATTCACATCCTTTTCTTAAGTAAAAGTACTAATATCACACTGTAAAAGTAGAATACTCTGTTATAAGAAAAGTTCTACATTAATAATGTTAAGTACAAGTATTAACACAGAAATGTACTTAAAGTATTAAAAGTGTTAGTAGGCTACTCAATGCAGAAAACTGTTATACTATACAGTATATTATTACATTAATAACCCATCACTCATGCATTCATGTAAAAGCAGGATTTGATTGTTGTGGCTAGGTGAACTGGAGCTCAATTCAGGTCAATTCAGTTTTATTTGTATAGCGCCAAATGACAACAAAAAGTCATCTCAGGACACTTTACAAAGTGAGGTGGGGATTATTACTGTTAAACAAGGCTCCATCGTATCTTAAAGACCTCGTAGAGCCTTATCATCCTAACAGAGCACTTCGCTCTCAGAGTGCAGGTTTACTTGTGGTTCCTAGAGTCCACAGAAGCAGAATGGGAGGCAGAGCCTTTAGCTATCAAACTCCTCTCCTATGGAACCAACTCCCAGTCTCAGTTCAGGAGGCGGACACCCTCTCTACCTTTAAGATTAGACTTAAGATAATTAAAGATGCCATTTGAGTTGCACTATGGGAATAATAGTCTCCAACAGACTTGATATGAGGAAGGGACTAACTTTTGAAATGTTTATCTTATTTTTGCTCTATTTTGACCATTCTTAATTTAAATGGTTTCTTGCACAAATGGTACAATTTGTTTGCCAGTTTCATATGCCATTGTAAGCTAAGTAAAAATGAAAAAATATTTTAATAGAAAAGGTAATTGTGTTAGTTTATTGGTTTTCTAAGATCTTTGTGGAATTATCACAACAATTCACAATTTAATCCCATGTTTTGCAGCTGTGCACAGCTTCTTCAGTTCCTTTGTGTAATGCAGTACAGGACAAAAGTGTACATTAACAGCAGTCTCAAAAATCAAATCTGGTTTTGTTGGTTTGTCTGGTATACTAACTAAGAAAACTTATCTTTTGTTACTTTTCCAGTATCAACACACTACACCCTCAAAAACTGCATGTTACACAAATTACATATAGAACTGGGCCACTACTCCAGTGTAGCAGCCATGCTGTTGCTTAGGTCCTGTTTATTTTTTTCCCCTTCCTCTACAGTATACACTCATATCTTCATTTTGATTTCTTTACCTTAATTGTTCTGATATTCCTCAAGTTGTTCGTTTTTGGTATTGCTATTGAAAGCTGATAAAAACAATGTCAAGTCAGTTACTGTACTGCACTGACGTTGATGCAAATAGATCACAGACAACAACAACAGTAATTTACAGAATACAGTCACAATTTAATAAGAATATACATACAAGTACATAGAGAACTGCAATTTAAAACGTACATATTTTAATACAAAACACTACAGTATAGCATATAACTAGCAATAACTTCATATTTCTAAGCTTCAAGTGAAATTATCAAATGGACTATAATGACTGCTAACATCCGCATAATGTAGCTACTCTTGATGTAGACTCGTGGCGAGCTGACTGAGTGCTGTCAGGAGAGGAGGACTCTGTTCTCTTTGGCCCACTTCCTCAGAGTTCGGATGATGTATTCAACCTGTGGGTTTCCTGAATTTCGCAGCAGGGACACCACCTCTTTCAGTGTCTCCCTGGAACACAAACAGAATATATGAGGAAACAAGATTAGATCAAGAATGCACCATCTCTCATTTTTCTTTTATCTACCCATCACACCCACTCATGCAGACTAAAGGAGATTGATATGCGAGTCCAAATGTTATTCAATTCTATTGGCAATGACAGAGATTATGAAGAAAAATGTTTTTAAATGTGTCAAGATAACCTGAAGACCCAAACTACTGCACAGGAGAAAAACAACATACAAACATACTTGGGCTCCTTGTTTGCCAGTATGAGCTGGAAGATGCCAACACATGCCCCTCTTTTGCCCTCCCAGTAGTTGGAACTTGGGTCCAGCTTCTCCAGTGCATCGAATGCTTTGGCTGCATAGTAGAACTGGCCCATCTAAAACATGTTGTGATCATGAGCACCTGATGCAGCTATGGTTGCAATGGTATGAGATATTCACGATATGATAACTGTCTCAGAAAATTTCACTGTTTCACGGTATGTGGGTATATATGGTATAACACAATTGCTATTATTATCAACTGCAACAGCCCTCAGAAGAATGAAAAAAATCATCTTTTTGTTTTTATTGCAAGTGACTTTGCCAGTTGATTGAACTAGATTACAGCACAAGATTGACCCAAAAAATAAACTGAGTTATAAAGATGATAAAAAATAACATAACTTTAACATGTTATACAACTAAAGCATGTTAGTTTGTGTTAGTACCAGTAGCAGAGAAAGTATTCACATCCTTTTCTTAAGTAAAAGTACTAATATCACACTGTAAAAGTAGAATACTCTGTTATAAGAAAAGTTCTACATTAATAATGTTAAGTACAAGTATTAACACAGAAATGTACTTAAAGTATTAAAAGTGTTAGTAGGCTACTCAATGCAGAAAACTGTTATACTATACAGTATATTATTACATTAATAACCCATCACTCATGCATTCATGTAAAAGCAGGATTTGATTGTTGTGGCTAGGTGAACTGGAGCTCAATTCAGGTCAATTCAGTTTTATTTGTATAGCGCCAAATGACAACAAAAAGTCATCTCAGGACACTTTACAAAGTGAGGTGGGGATTATTACTGTTAAACAAGGCTCCATCGTATCTTAAAGACCTCGTAGAGCCTTATCATCCTAACAGAGCACTTCGCTCTCAGAGTGCAGGTTTACTTGTGGTTCCTAGAGTCCACAGAAGCAGAATGGGAGGCAGAGCCTTTAGCTATCAAGCTCCTCTCCTATGGAACCAACTCCCAGTCTCAGTTCGGGAGGCGGACACCCTCTCTACCTTTAAGATTAGACTTAAGACGTTCCTTTTTGATAAAGCTTATAGTTGGGGTTGGATCAGGTGACCCTGAGCCTTCCCTTAGTTATGCTGCTATAGGCCTAGGCCCCATGATGCTCTGAGTTTCTTCCATTAAAGGGAGTTTTTCCTCCCCACAGTCACCAAGTGCTTGCTCAAGGGGGATTTGTTGGGTTTTCCTTCTGTAATAATAGTGATAACAGTAAGGTCTAGACCTTACTTTGTAAAGTGTCCTGAGATGACTTTTGTTGTGAATTGGCGCTATACAAATAAAATTTGATTTGATTTGATTAAATTAGTTTCATGTGGTGATTAATAATTTGTAAATTGTATGGTTTGAGAAGTGTATGCATGTCTTAAAAGTCTAATTCTGGTAAATGTTTAAAAGTAACTCTGGTGAATTGGCTTGTCTAAGGACGGAGGTGTTGGTCTACCTGTAAGAGATATGAAGTAGTATAGTCTGAGGGAGGGTTGGCCCAGACGGTAGTGCTATTTAAGTAGTTGCTCAAGGGCAGCTGGAAGATGAAGGTCATGCAAGTGTAGATGTGTGCACGTGTTGTTAATTTAAGCTGCGTTATTATGAACTGAGTTTTGTTCAGTTATGTGAAGTTAACTATTTGGTTGTTTTATGGCCACTTTGGCCAGATCTTCCACAAACAGATTATCAAAACAGTTGGTGAGTCTTTTCCTGCTGTAACCAGTAAATTGACTAATAATGTGAGCACAAATTTTTACATTTACACGTGTCTTTCTATTTAAGTCATCCTCAGGTTATACTAGAGCCAGAAGACAGAGGGTGACATCACCTTGTAGCAGTCGTTGGCAATGAGCTGCAGCAGACTGAAGGAATCTGAGGAAGTGCCCATCTTCAGATAGAGCTCCCAGGCAAGCCGACCCTTCTGGTTCATTATGTCTGACAAGAACAAGACAGATGTTCAATAATCCATCATTCACAGGCAGCAGCTTTTAGAGATTCAAATTTGGGAAATATTAAAAGCCTCTGGGCAGGTTTTATTGATGTGGATTGAGCCAAGAGAGGAAGAAAAGTCTTTTAATGGAAATTTCTATTTCTTAGAGTTGTTGAGTATAACACTAGCCAAATGCAAGAGTGACCTTAAATTCTCTTCAAGCCTGAGGCTTCAGTGAAGTAGAAAAGATTCCCCAGTCTTTTACCAGCTTAAGGTCTTTTATTTCTGTCATCAATTGTAGGATACTGTAATTTTATCCAAGTCTACCTAAAAAGGCCCCTCGCCTTTATACAGCTGTTGCCAAAGACAGCCTATAGGTAAAAACGAATGGACTTGAACATATAGGTCAATCTGGCAATTTCATTCTAGTTGGAAAAGGTCAACTCACAAGCAGTCTGGCATTTTGAGCCTCTATTCTCATGTTGGTGGTCCATGTGCATTGAGGATTAGTTTGAAAACGTTACAGATTATTTTTACAGTATCTGTCATCTCAACATTAAGTGTTTTTAATCCCTATGTGCCAAAGCTTAGCCTGCGATCTCTTCAGAATTGGAAAAAAATAAAGGTGTGTGGAATTATGTTCTCATTTCTCTTTTTCTCTCTTTTAAAGTTTGTTTTTAATTTCTTGAAAAGTATGTAAATCTCTTAGAAACAGCCTCAACAGCTACATAAATAAATGCACATT